CTTGGAAAATTTCATTGCTATGGAATCAATTGCTGCTTGGAAATAACTTTGTTCAGCGTCTATCAATATACGAACATCTTTTGACTTTGCAACATTAAAAATTTCATCTAATTCTTTAATCATTTTATCGTAACCATCAAAATCTCTTTGCGTTAAATATTCGCCACTCTTATCATTATTGTTGTTATTGTTGTTATTATTATTATAATTATTGATTAATAAATTTCTTATTTCAAGATTATCCAATGAAAAAATATTCATGTAATCATACCAATCAATAAATCCATCATTATCCAAATCAAATTGTTTAAATAACTTTTGAACAACAACTGAAACTTCCTTCTCACCATCGTGGTCGACTATTAAAAAAATGGCCTTGACAATATTTTGAAAATTTGTATAATTCAATTTACCGTTTATCTCAAATTTATCGAAATTATCATCCAACAAATTTAAAAATGTGGTGATATTTTGTAGTATTTTAGGATTCAACATCCCAGTAATTTTAATAGCAACAAAACTATTTTTTTGTGTGGAAGCTATAGTTTCAATGCAATTCTTTGTTATATCAAAAACCATATCTGTCTTTTTATCAAATTGGTCCGATATATCACTATCTTCAATATCTGATTCATTAGAAATCCCTATAATTGATCCAATTCCGTGCGATTTTAAATTCTTCATTGTATTTATACATTCTTCCGTTGTTTCTCCACTAATTCAATTCAATTAGTCAATTATTTATATAAATATTTATGTATAATAGATGTGTATGTGTATGTGTGTATATATATATATATATATATACATATACATATATACATATACATATACATACCCACAAAATTGTTCATAGAATGTTTTTCTCATCACCCAGTACATTGGACCTCCAAGGTGAAAATTTTCCGCAAATCGAATAATACTTGACGAACTATTTACTAGCCATTGAATAGAACATAACTTGTATACAAGAAATGCTCTTGATAAATGTTTTAATGATTTATCTTTTATTCCTATTGGATTATTTGTAGAATAAAAATCTTGTTCAATTGATGAAACAATACTGCTACTATCACTGTTAGTAGTATTACTACCGATATTAGTGTAATTATTAGATAAAGGTTTGTGCAATGAAATCAAACTTAATCGAGCAGTGTTATAATTGATAATTATTGTCGAAGGAGAGGGATTTATTTTATTATTATTATTATTATTATTATTATTGTTATAAGCGCTAGTTTTTAAAGATGATGAACGGAATTTTCGTAGAGAGTTTGTTGTTTTTATAAATTTATTTTGGTTTTTAACCAACAACGATTGATAAATAAAATTATTTTTGGTTAAAAATAAATTTGACATTATTATTATTTGGAAAAAAAAATTGCTTTTTTACCAAAAAAAAAAATTTTTGAAATTTTTATGGTATGTGTAACGTCTATCACAACGAATATTTGTAAAAGAAGTTGGCTCCTGTTTAAATTAAATGTTTGTGCGCATAAATCTTTA